AAGTAGTTTAAGTGCCATTGTATACATGCATCAAGGTTTTCAGTGTATTGTCATTTACTATAACTTAGATTATATCAATTTAATTGTGGAACTATATATATATATATATACATATACAGGGTGGTCACGGCTACTTATTTTTACAAGGATTAAATTTACAAAGTTTTGTTAGGGCATATGTTACATTACCAGGGATGGCCATTTCCGAATACTAAACTATTCCGAATACATTCTAAAATAATGTTTCCGAATCTGGAATTCCGAATACATTCTAAAATCGATAATAACACATTTTTGTTTTAGTTGATTAAAACCCAGTAAATTAGGACATAAGCTTCAATAGAAATATCAGAATGAAGCCACAAACCAACAGTATATGTACACAAAGTAATTGATAGTTCATAGCTATCAATAAAAAATAATAGCAACTTGTGACACAGTCAATTTATTAAAATTATTCACTTTGTACAAATGACCATATGAAAAGATAGCCAAGGAGTTGTCTGACGCTTTCTATCATTGGTACCATGATATTACGATAATAGTCAAGTCTATTGACAAAAATACTACTTGTATTCAGATAATTGTGTATATTTTCTGAGAGTAATAAAAATTTATTGGCAATACAGGCAACAACAATCGAAAATTCATTATGCCTTTATAAATTCTAATATTTAAGCCTGAGGTATTCTACTACCTACCAGTATATTAATTTATGTGAACCATATTGTTATTATGTGTAAAATATTGTTGTGTTTGGAATTAGAAATAAATTAGTAGAGAATAGATGACCACCACTGCCAGCGCGCAGCCAGGATTTTCGAAATCGGAAATTCCCATTGCCGCCTATAACACCCACCGCGATTTCGCGCTCGTTAAAAGAGCCGTCTTTTCAGCATATAATGATCATTATCTTACGTAAAATATTCAATCCATGACAACTAAGAGATTCTAAAATATCTTTATATATTAATTTAATGTGTCCAACGTAACTCGCGGTTGCTTCTTCTTACGTCAAAAAAAAACATTACTGTTCGGTCCACGGCGATCTGTGACCTAAAATTACGAGATAAACTGCCTGATGTATTTTATTTTAATACGTATTTTTGCAATCTTGCCAACTCGTTATCGCCGTTAGAAAAATCTCAAATAATTATATAAAATCCTGTTAAGTGTACTGTAGAGTGTAATTCATTTCATACAATGAATATACATATAAAGTTTAGCAGTGAATTAAAAATACATATTCATCGCCGCGATTATGCCACCTGTTAAAAGAGTCGACTTTTACAACAAATAATATAACAACGAATATATATTTTTCTGTTGCGCAAAGTGTTGAATTCGTGACCGACACGCGTATTTAAAATGTCTTGTTTTATTAATTTAATTGTCTTCAATTTGACCTGCGGTTGCGTCGACAAAATAAAATCCTCACCACTCTTATATACCATTGCAATCCGCGGTTATAAAAATAAAAACGTGAGGTAAACTGTCCGATTAAATATTGTTTTGATCCGTATTTTGCGAATTGGGCAAATATTTAGATGTACTTGTTAACAGTGACTCCGCTCGATCGAAATGCTGCCACTCTGATTATTTTTAGATAAAACCGTTCGACAAATCAATAAATATGCAGTAATATCTCAGGGTAAAATTTATTTCATCACAATAAAATTGATTGAATATACTTTAGATTGATTATATTATATACATCCTCACAACCCGGGAAAAAGTCGCGTTTCAAACCTTGTATCGTGTTAACACGAAAATATTCGACGGCAATTTAAAGTAATGGATAATCAGGAACCCCCCCCCCCCAATTAGGGACGATATGTTTCTAAACGCCGACCAAACATAATGTGTGCCAGAGGCACACGAAATTCTGCGATTTTCACTGCCTAGAAGAGCGTTTTTTTAATTTTCGCGGGCCTCAATAAAACTTATATTGTTTACGATTTTATTTTCAGTATTTTAAATTGCCGCTTTTCAATCAAAAAGTTGCGTTGTCTTTAGAAACTCGTCGCCAATGAACGTATTTACCAGATTCACAATTCCGTGCGCGTACAAAAATAAAATAAATGTTATCGTTATCGTGGAACGAATTTGTGAAAAATTTTCGTTTTAGAGAAAATAATACAATCGTAAAGGCGTTTACGGCCTAAATAACACGTTACGCTGATGAGTAATGAAAACAATCACGCGCAAGTTTCTATCGAGAATGTTTTCATTCAACGGAAAGGTCTTGAAAGCGGCGTCGAAAATGTGTGACGTCACACAAATATCCGATATTCTTATGAACGTGAATTCCGTTATTCGAATTGGCCATCCCTGTACATTACACTCACAGATGATTAAAATGTCGCCCGTGTACTTCAGAGCAGTGACCTAACCTAGAAGTTCAATCTCGTTTAGCGTTTCGAAAGTTAATTTGTGGAATATCGTTCCAATATAACCTAAATATATACGCATTTTATTCGTGATCCCATGTGACCTTCAAATTTTCGTATATAAATACATGGAAAACATAACAAGTTGCTTTTTATATCGACCCTGTAAGAGTTAGATCACTAATCGGTATCAACATATTTCAATGTAAATTTTATTAACGGACAAACTGTTACAAATACTTTTATTCTAGCCTCTTTTTTGACATTTTTAACTTTTTAAGTATGTAATTCTTACAAATATCGGAGTATAAAAGCAGACTTCTTGTATATTATGAACATTATTGAAAGATAACTCGCTGCTATAAGTCAACTTATTTCCTGTCATTTTCCGATTTTCCGCCCCAAGTAGCCATGAGACCATTTATCGGGAATTTTTTGTATCTATTAGACTTTAAATATTCGGAGATCGGTTTCATGGATTCGAATTCATCCATGAATCGTTGAATACCGGGTGATTTGTCAAAAATATCAGTGAAGAAAAGACGGTGATGATCAAAAGTTTCGTACAAAGCAAAATCAAGGAAACTCAAATCATCTCCGAGCAGAAATTTCCGATCTGTAAAATATTTTTCCATCATATCTATCTTTGCCGTCTGATTCTTACGGATCTCATCAATTTTATCATAGAGGTCAACATTATACATGCTCCTAGCAAATGCCCATCTGATGTCATTAATGACGCCTTGAAGCATATCTGTCTGGCGTTGATTTTCATCTGATGATGGAAATAGATTCAACTTTTTCCCTAGATATCTGGAAAAGGAGTATGATGATTACTCGACAAAATTTTGAATTGCGTTACGATTTGAAAATTTTGAGTCAATAGCAAAATACCATTTTTTGTACCAGGCGTATTTGTCCACTCTGCATATTATAAATAGAAATGAGTTTTCGGTAAACTCACATCTTACGTAAAATTTTTACAGACCTGTAAATTGCCCAACTCTCGGTAAGCTTTATGTCTCCATCAATTAGGTACGGCAGGTTTGGGAAATCCATTCCCAAACAGAACTTCTCAGCAAACCATGTTTTTGCCTCTGCTATTTTTAACCTTCTATCTTCATATTCCATGCCACCGTACTCTAAAATCATCCTTGCAGGCTCGCAAAGACCTCTCAAGTCCCAGTAGACTAGAACGAGATTACTCATTTTAAATGTATACGGTAATTATATATTACTTACTACAAAAAAAAGTGTCGTTAAAATCCGTCTACTTTGTTTCCACTGGCTATGAACAGAAGAATTTTGCTAGGAAATTTCCCTTGAATATTCCATTATACGTGAACGAATACAATATAATGTTGAGAGGCATTGGTACTGCAGCGCTGTGGACTTGGTCGAATATTCTTTCCCAAAATCTATTTAAAATTCGGAACTATATTCTGAAATCTCTCTGTGTAAATAGAGGGAATACAGTATATACATGTACTTCGATCGATACACGTGTAATTGAAGACACAATTGGCGCATGACGAATGAAGCAAATTTCCTGTTACAGTCTGACACGCATTTGTTGGCTGTAACACACGACTTGAATTATCGATTGCCTGATTTAGTTCCAGGCGAAAACCATCCAACCTCCCTCTTAAAAAGTGTCAAGTTCTGAACTGAAATACGCATGGTTGCATATATTTTCCGGTGACCGTACATTTTTGAACTCATGTGTATATCCGCGGGTTCAATCTATATGCGGGTGCTAAAACCCATGGGTTAGGGTTAATATGGGTCCAAATATCCGTAAAACAAAACAATTTCCATAGGTGCAATTGTCGTGGGTTCAAATGTAATGAAACCATATTTTCCAGTTTTTCGATATAGGTGGTATGTCAGGATACTCTAATAGGCGGTTGTTCCGTCATACCCAACGACTAACATACCGGTCATACCCATGTCCTTCTGACAACTATACTACTTAGTTTCTAGCTAAATTGATGTTAAATACAACGATGCATTCATCTGTAAAGCAATAAAATAACGAAAAAAAAAAGATGTTAATTAACTTCATAAATCGCAACAACAATAATACAAAAATATTACTCAACATTTGTGTTAATTTCATAACCGTTACGAGTAAATGTGCATCTACGGAGTAAAATGACCATAAAAACGTGTCTAACCAATAACTATACAGGATAATTAGAACGACCAATGTGGTGCGTCTTGCAATATGTTTGAGACTCGATTATCTCAGCTTGACCAGAAAATATCACAGTAATTTAATATTTACTAAAAAATGACTAACTAGTTAGTTTTGATACAGATTTTGCAAACCGGAAGTCACTAGATAAATTTTAAGTGCGATCTCAATTTTATGCTCATTACACATACTTGTATCGTTTGACATAATTATTGTAAAATCCTATCATGCGCAATACCCAGCTCTGACTCATTTTTTTAACAGATACAGGCATTATCGAGGTCAAATTATTAAGATTCGAATAACAGAAAATTTACAATGACAATGTGAGTATATAATAAGTTCCAAGCACCTTACTAGAAATAAATTTACACTTCACATAATTATAAAAATAGTCTTTTCTGAACAAATAACTATTTCTTCAAATTTTCCTTCTTCGATTCCCTGTGGTGAACTTGCATTACGCTTTTCCATTCGTGTTGAGTCCAATGACCCATTGGAATGGCATGGTTTGAGTTGACGTACCAGAGCCAATCTTTTTGTGGTTTATACCATCCAGGTCCGAAGTAAAGTGAGACATACATCAAAGAATCGCAATAAACTTTAACTTTTATACCGACAAATTCCGACCAGCAAAGTTCAAATGGAGGATAACTAAAAAGAAATCTTTTGCCGTCTTTACGTGTACGAAGATGGGTAACGTGATCGTGACCATTGCTGAAAACATGTATGTTTATCTTCGTGTCTGATTTATCCAAGAACGCCAGTTCTAAGCCTTCTTTCAGCGTTCCGAATTTACTTTTGAAGAAAAATCCATTTTCCTCCATTGCTGAAATAATTTCCTCTTTGTAGTCGTGTTTCCAAATGCCAATATCAATATTTGTATCGTAAGAAATTATGTTGCATTGACGGTACCATCCCAAAACAGTTCCTCCAGTAATCCAAAACGGAACTTTTATTTTTTCAAAAATTTTTTTTGTTTCAACTAGCATTTTTTTCGCGGCCTCTTGGAAGAGTTTATCTTGTTGGGGGATTTCGATTTCGTATTTTGCCACGAAATTTTCAGCTTTTGCATGATCACACTCTATGAAACGTGAATTAGCATATTCGTCTAGAAAAGCGCGGATATGATAAGGTACTGAAATTCTATGGTTGTCTATATATATTGGCAAGCCTGTAAATCTATGAGAAAGATCATACCCTTGTGCATATCGAGGAAATTTCGCTCCAACCGCATCAATAGAATGCCATCCCTCGCCTATTGCTGGTGTTATAGCTGCTACGGTTTCCATCCAGTCTTGATCAGTAACTGGTCCCACCCACATATATTTTATGTCGTCACCTCGTTCATGTAAAAATGCAATGTGTATAACATGTTTCTTTCGTGCCATCCATAAATAAGCTGGTATCATGTCTGGATTTGAGTGTCCCTTCTGTTTAGGGTCAGCTACTTCTGACAAATGAACCGTAAATCCGAGGTGTTTTAGAGAGTTTATGTAATCTTCTTTCGAAGCTATAAACTTGGTGGCAAGTGCTGCAAATGTAATCACATTTTTTTCTTCTGGGTGATGCTTACATAGTATTTTGCACTGATGCAGAGTATCCTTCCAGGTCTTGGATCTTGGTACAAAAATGTTTGGCAAGATATCGATGTCAAACAGGAGTAACGGCACAGTGTGCGTCCGCGAAGCAACCAGTAAAGTCTCGATATTCTCCAACTGGTTATCAATGTTATCCTGCGACAGTTTCAAAAAGTGGAAGTTGGGTACAAAGAAGTATGAGTAACCAATAGATATTACACAAACGCAACATACTGCAGTCAACAAGGTTCGTACTTTCAAAGCGGAAACCTGTTTGCTGAAATCCATTTTACCTGACATACTGACAGACTCGAAGCCTAGGCCAGGATCGCTCGCGGGTAGTAGTCACGTGGCTAAATGGCATACGTCAGGGTATATGTGACGACACAATGCATATGTGACGCACAATAGTACCAATGGTTTTGCGTGTAAGTGCGTACTGTTACGGTACTGTACAGTGTACAGTATTGGTCTTATCCATTTCCTAATTTTAAATAACAAATACAATAATACCCTACCGCGGCAAAGCTTTGAAATCAACAGCAATGCAACAGTGAAGTATTTGAAAAAAAAATAATGTAGATTTTTATAACGAAATGACAAATGGGTGTATCAAAAAAAGAAATACAAATCATGGGTAATCAATTCAAGGGTGAAGAGTATAGAAAGTGAATTGTGAAAAAGAACCAGTAACAGAAAACCACAGTAAAGAAAGCAAGCATGGTGGTAATGCCATCAAACCTAATGAAAGCTGGGTGTAACTATAAAAGCATAATCAGTCAGATGCTTCAAAAGATTTTATGACCATTTTGAGGAGATTGAAACATTTGTCGAAGGAAAGGAGGACATCCATCGGCTTGGCAAAAAAAGAATGAGGTGCTGATTTAGCTTTCACCTTCGATATCACCACACATAACTTTTATCGTTAAATCGCACATTATATGGAAGCTGTGCACAACATCTGTACAACACAACATCGGCCTTTATTTAAAAACTTTGTCTGTGGCAAATCTATTTTGCAGGTGGTGTAACAACACATTCTCCAAAAATTTCAAAACACAAAACGAAATTGTTTTGTTACTCTTTTAACTTATGTTGTTTGTTTCCGGCTCCTTACAAGTTTAATGTTTGAAATTGAGAGCCACTGCGTCGGGCTAGGGCTGGGCATTTCGAATCGGATAGTAAATAACTCAAATCGTTTTTTTTTGTCCGCCGAAGATCGAGGTGAATCCTTCATTTCAGGCGTATTTTTAAAATGCAATTGTGACATAAGACTCTTTTGATGACTGGTACGGATGACCCTTTGCTATACGTCGTTCGATGAATTCAAGTATCTACCAAGTATTCGAGATTCGATTAAAAAAAATAATCGATGCGATTCTGAAATCATCAAGTATTCGAAAATGGCCAACTATACTTCAGACCAGAGGTTCTCAACCCGCGGCCCGCCGATGTATATTTTTTTGTGATCTTAGGAAAAAGATTTTAAAGTACTTTTAGAGTTTTAAAATCGTAAAACGTATTTGTTATTGAAAAACATTATTGCTATTAGATATAATTATACTTTTTTCTATGTTGTAAAATTCTGTCATAGTTCTCGCTAGGGAAGAAGTTGCAACTAGGCCTCGTAGCGCACATCAGGTAACTACCTGAAAATGATTTTAAAATGTTCCTTAGAAATTTAGTAACAAATATTGCCTTGTTCCCACTTCCAAAAGTTGCACGTTTTACAGAAAAGACGCTTTTACTACAATAAATATGTGTTACCATCTGTCCTATTTTCTCTGCTTTTCCGGTATCATGGGCCAATGAACGCAGACTTCTGCAAAACGTAACAGTCAAGTTAGTCAGCTGTAGGTGGATCCCCAGTGGTCGGATGAATATCAGATGTACTACAACTGCTCGCTTTTGCGTTGAGTAGCCTTTCCATAGTTTTTTTCAGTTACCGGTAATATTAGTTCAGTTATTCTAAGGAGGTGTTGAAAAGTATAGGTAAGATATCAAACACTTGCATATCCTTACCATAAATAGCAATTTTAGTTGAGCACTAGCTCATAAGACGTTGTTAAATAGGTACGGTGCGGTAACTCCAAGGAAGGCTAGACCTAGAATAATATGTCACAAACAACGATATTTTCTGGCTTGCATGAAATGTTTATGATTAATTTAATGACTCTTCTTGACTATTCAGCAGACTTATACTACTATATACAGATATAGGCCACAGCATATTTGGAAATAAAAATGAATGGCTGTTTCTGTAATGCACGGTTGTGTGAAAGAGAAGAAAATCAATTTTACTAATGTCGGTTGGTCTAAATCTAAATTCATAGAGTCGACAAGAACCTGGGAAGCAATGATAAGTTATGCCGGAGTGGAAAGAAAGGTAGCATTGGAAACGATTGAGAGGTGAGAAATCAAGTTGTAGACAAACAGTTGATGTTTTAAAATATACCTAGTCTATAGTCCATACTCATACTGTCATAGGACATTTCAGACTGTGATATATCAAAATAGTAGATATAGTCTAGTACCGGTAATGGTATGCAAACACTGCTGGACTGTAGTACATGCAATGAGCATATATACGCTCATTTAGTACATCAGATAAAATGCATTATGTATTCAAGGTATTAGTTAGTATTTAGGGGTATTTTTAAACTCATGCTGCTCCAAATATTATTTTCTTCCTCATTTTAGATACTGTACTACAAAAGAAAACGGCAATGTTCCACCAATCCGACCTAACGCAGGCTCTGATCCCTGCTGCTATCAGTGCTATAAAATGGATTAAACAAGAAGTCTTGAAGCTTAAAGGTATATGAGAATCATAATAGTTGCAAACAGCTTAGATGGGCTATTCATATTGAAATACTTTAGCACTTTTCTGCAATTGGAACTGCCCATCAAATTCATGTTGGAGACTTCATTGAGATTTTCAATTCATTTTTTTCCCTCGACTATGAAGACCTTTTGAAGTTATCGAGGCATTAATAAATAAAGCTGAGGAATTTGAAGAGGATATGAAGAATGTAAATGATACCAGGGCACGTCTATTTAACACTGTCAAACATAAGGATTATACTCTCCACCCAACAATGATTCACTGAAGAAGCATGTGGCCCTCAAATCAGTTCTTGAGTTGGCAAACTGCAAGTGTAAGAAAAATAGTCAAAATAATTTATGAAAGTGTGCCAAAATCAACTTAAATTGCACAGATTTTTGTTTTTGTATTGACTGCAAAAATCACAGTACACTTATAGAGGAAAAGTCGATTTTTGAGATAGTGGATTTCGAAAACAATTCAGAAGAAAGTGAATTAGATATTACTGTTGATTTAATAAGTATCATTTATTTGTTTTGTGTTTCGGACATTTGTTAGTGTCGTAGTCCTGTTTCTAGAAATATTATTGCCTTTGTTCAAATACATAACCACATAAACTAAAAAAAGATTAATTGTAAATTGTAATATTTCTGTTCACTATGTTATGTACATTATGTTAATTTTCTTGACTTTTGCGGTAAATTTCTAAGTGAGAAATAACTGATTTATTTGTGTTTTCGTGCTCACGATGTTAATTTGTGACTTCATTGCTTAAAAATAAACACGTTTGATAGCTTCTATAAAACGGATGTAGCTTTTTATGCTGTTCTTGTTGTAAACTGCTTGTGGTTATTACATAAAATTTATTTATGTGAATCAGCGTTGTTGGTGTCGCTGCTTTCGAGGTCACTCCCGATTCCTGTCACACAATTAAAGTATTTTTTGTTGTTGGTTACATGTATGCCATATTTTTCGTAATCTACCTAATAAATTATGATTGACTGAGGAAGTCCGATTTTGGTCAGGCAAAACATTACAGGAATACATTTGTGTTAGTGTGCTGTAGGGCTCTCGAATTGCATAGTTCTTATGTATGTGTTGTAAACTTATGGTTATTGAATTTCCGGGAACCTCTTATATTCAATTTCGCACTAGAATTGTGGAACAAGCTGTAATGCGTTCATTATGTTCGTTTTCACACAAAACTGAAGAATTTATTTAGTTACCAGATGTGCGCTACGAAACTCATTTTCTGGGCGTTTTCATGGCTTCGTCTCACGGCCCATATCCGTGGTAAGGATCTACAAGTGTTTAATAACTTACTTATACATTTTTCAACAACGTCTTAGCATAACCTAACTAATAATAACTAAACAGGGCTATGGAAAGCCTGCCCAAATTAGCGCAAGGTCAAGCAGTAATAACTAATATTCATCCGCTCGCTAACAGCTGGTTTAATTCAATTGTTACGTCATGCTGAAGTCATTGTTCCTTGCCGAAAATGTAGAGAATATAGGACAGATCGTAGCACATATTTCTTGTAGTAAAAGCGTCTTTTCCGTAAAACGTGCAACTTTTGGAAGTGGGAACAAGGCAATATTTGTTACTAAATTTTTAAGAAACATTTTAAAATCATTTTCAGGTAGTTACCTGATGTGCGCTACGAAACTCACTTTCAAGGCGTTTTTCAGGGCCTCGGCTCGCGGCCTAAACTGCAAACTTATGAATGCTATCCAACTATGTTTTAGAAGGCATGAAAATAAAAACAAAAAGCATATTATACATCAGTATCGGACTAACAAATGAATCAAATAGCACAAATACATGGTAATAATATTCTGTGGCCCGTAGCATTTTTGTGGTCAAAATCCGCCCCCTTTATCTTGGAAGTTGAATACCGGTACCGGTACCCCTGCTTTAGACTCAAATTTAAACTGTACAAGGTGTAAATCTGCAACGGGTGAATGAACATTCTAGCCCCGAGGCAGACTTAGTGAAGGTGTGGCGTTTGTTTCTTTTCAGCGTATCAGTTACCATACTTTACTCCATTCTGGCAATATAATTTATACGTACTTTCACTGCTTTTGTGCTACTGTTGATTTGGTCGCATATTTTCGAAAGAACTTCAAGGGAAGTATCGAAGTCATGTCTGCACAGATGTCTAATCATATTTCTCAACTTCGGCGACAAATCGAAGAATTAAATTGTCATATGAACATAAGACGAACGATGGTAAGTTCCACCAGTCATGGCACCTGTCTGCCTGTACTGCAGTACCAGTTTTCTGGACAGTCTGGCAGTCTAATATTATTAACCTCATTGCAGGTTTATGTTTTATCAATTCTAATTTATGTTTGTACGGTATTAGGTATTTGTTCATCTCACAGGTTTCTTCTTTCGACGTAAAACTGACAGTAGTCATATGCCGGTATCGTAACTCCCACTTACTGCAGTGACCATTTTAGAATTGAAATTTGACTAGATTTGTATTTTATTTAAGCTTAACTTTACATCGAATACCGGTACACATGCTGACATGGTTTCCCATCAATTCAGCAATTGGTTTTGAGCAATCATGCATATGATATGTGTATGGCTTGATGAAGTCTCATATCAGTATGGCACACTATACAGATCGAGCGGCATTGTCTCGTTTCAAAGAAACCCATTTTATCAATGATTATACACCCCACCTTTGGGAGACCTCTGGACATTGTTGTCTCTCATTATCGGTAAAAATACAGTATAATAAAGTTGTGCAAAGAACCACGAAAAAGCGCAATCTCATAACGTTATCATTGAATTCCTCGTAAAAAAATAATCCGATTTACCAAAGGAAAAAAAATTTTACCATAGCATTCGAGAGTTTTTAGCAAAAAACGGCAATTTTGGTCATGTGACGATCGCCAATATATTAGAATTTTATTGAGAAAAGCATGGCATGATATGACGCACCTGACGACTGACGTGGTGCCAGACGACCCTCGTTTGTGAGACACATGAGAGTGTTTGTGTTATTGAACCAAATGGAGAGAATTTGGATAGTGTGCCGTACTGCATATAGAGAAATGCCATCAGTCAGTCGAATGTCGCTAATATCATATTTATAGAGCATACACATCTTGTTAATAGTTATGATTCTCGAGTTGTTTATGTTTTACCATGTCCTATATCAGTATATACTGATATATATACTTATGTTCACTTTTCAGGTTTCTGATGCATCGCAGCAGTTGATGCAATTTGTTGTTGAGAATGAACAGCGGGATTATCTTGTTGTTAAACCTCCAGACAACCCGTTCAAACCCAAAAGTACATGTCCGTTATTATAGATGATCTTTTCTGGAAAGAAACTTTTTACAACTACACTAATTTATCAGACTTTGTATTTGCGAGGGGTTGGACGTGGTAGAGTATCTTAAAGTTGTTGAATTGCAGTTGACATTGTTTTTTTGATTGTTTATACCTGAAGCTCTTTTATCTCAATCATGTCATTTTCTGTTAGAAGGTAATCTTTTGTATTTTGTTACCTTTTTCATGGTTTAGAATGGACTGTACTTTTATGAGGCCTTTTTCTTTTTACCTGTGATGTGTCGCGGTACTTTAATATAGTATGTTTGTTGCCTTTCCCAAACTATTTTGACAGTTCTATTGGATGGTTTAGCTGATGTTGTTGAAATGAATCGATGGTTCCCATCAGCATGAGTACTGTTCAGTATTATAGGCATGGCATTTGTAATTTATGAATACATGCTGGGATAGCCAAAATAGTAGTCTCGTCAGGTGATGGTGTCAGGTTTCAGTCCCTTTTTTTTTGCAGCTACACAACAATACAATAATGAATTTTCTGTAATAGTCATGGTTACCATATTTTACGGACCTTCGGGCACACTGAATTAATTGCTTAGATTGGGTCTTTATTCATACAAGAGGCGCATCAGGCTATAAGACTCAACGTTTTTGAAGCAATGCTTGAGCTGGTTTTGAGGGCAGGCAATGAAGCACTACCTGATCCATACATTAGGCGCACAATCGATTTTTGAGCAAAAAGGGATTTAAAGTGCGCCTTATGGTCTGTAAAATAAGGTTCTGTCAGTCTTGATCATACATTTTACTCTCGATATTGTGGAGACCGTTTATATATTTACTGTGTTGTATAATATTTTATATGAAGTGTTTTGAACTTTGAAGTCAATTCACTTAGTTTTGCAACCCTCATGAAGATGTGTTATATCCAGAAGATGAGTTGCTCTGACAAACTGAGAAAATTTGGACAATATGGGGATCGTAAAGGAAGGGGCTGGTTGAATTTTAATTTTGAAGTGAGTGCCACTAGTCTAGTGACAATACCTACCAATTTATTGTATCTTGGAAAATTGGAGTGTGCCAATTACAATGCAATTGCGTACTGTTGAGGAAAACATCCAGTGTTTGTGTATTTTATCATATATAATAAAAGTACATCTATGTTTCTCAAGGTGTTTTAATTTAATAGTACAGTAGTAGACATGCTGACGGGTAGGGTCAGACTGTTTCAGTGACATCTGACCTGAAAAATGAAAGACTTGCATATATGGCTGTAAGGCCTGTGAATGGTCAACGGTTACGATTTTTTTATTAGGGGTAACTGACATCTCAGGTAATAATAATCGCCTCTATACTGTACAATTTCTTCAAAAATGACTGGTTCGTCACAAATTTATCTCCTGTGGTGTTCAATTCAAAAGGATACCACTAATTCTGTGAAAATGTAAATAATTGAAGTAAAAGTGTTGCTGACAATGACGAGTTTAGAATATGTATGTAATTTTCACAATTTCATTGCAAGAGCATCTATTCGACAATTGCGCATTCTGTATTATCATATCAACATTTCAGGGAAGTAGTGACGAACGCTTCAACTTAACAATATTTATCGCCATGCTGAATACATACATACTCTGATTGGTAGCAGGTACACACATATATTGTTGCGCCATTCTGGCTCCATCTTTGCATCTGAATCTATTACCTCCCCAGTGGGCCAGAACTGCGAACTTGCTCTGGGACCATTGTGAAATGATAATTCTAAATTTTAACAGTTTAAATGTTGTCACTGAAATTCCCAGCCCTAATGCCTGTAGTGTACTCGTAACTGCTGGAAAACATATAACAACATTGAAAGTTCAACTATATTTTATATAATCTTCAAAAAGTAAATAAAGTTAAAGAACAAATCAAAAAAAAAGAAGAGTGAAATACCTAGAATCCTTTAATAATGGCAGTTTAAATCAGTATCTATATCATAGAAATGTACGAATTAGATTCAATGACCTCTCTCCCGCATGCTTCTCGCAAGAATTCTGTATTGCCCTTCCTTAAGTATGACTTGATTATATTCAAAATGTGTTTATAGAAAAATCACATCGGTTCCACATAATATCTATGCAATGTATTTAACTAATGCATATTGATCTGATAGCGACTAGTAAAGGATAATACATTATCCACAAATAATTTCTCATTTAAGCAATATAGAAATTTACTTCACCGGGCTGCTACAACATTACGATATATTACAGTCATATATATTAATACTAGCATTAGGACAAAAACATCATCGAGTAGTCCAATTATACCAAAAACTGCCTCTGGCAAAAAATCAAGAGGTGAAATAAGGTAAAGTAGTATTGCAATGGCGCAAAGCACAATACGTACTCTGAACATAAAAACAAGTCCTCCCATAGAGAAAAATTCACTCCAAAGATGTCTCATTAAAGCAGGAATATCTCTGATGTAGTCCAAAATCTGTAAATGAGAATAAACGAACACTCATTGGATGGTTAACTACAGGCAGTGTAATGGCAAAACCTTTAGATTGGGAACAGCCATGGAATAGTCACCCCATATATGTGTTAACCAAATAAGGCAGCACAGCACAACTTTATGCAGTGATAAACTATAAAAAGCATGGCATGAGTACTTCCGAACACGAGCTAATTTTATTTCAAATTGCTTTTTTGATATCAACACTATCAGTTAGAAGTCGTATATTTTCACTTCATATACTTACCGGCCTAGGCTGTCCAGAAAATCTTCTATTATAATCATTTATATTAGTCAAAGCGTCACGAGTTGCTTCCGAGTGGTTTTCCCCAGCCTGAAAATTTCTCAACAGCAGCGATACTTGCTGTCTACAGACAGGGCAATTGACAGCTCCAAGCCAATTCCCAAATCTCCAGTATGTTATTATGCAGTGTGCTGTAAAATGGGTAGATAATAAGTTCAGAATATTTTTGCCACAGTAGGTCATAGGATTTACATATTTATCCCAGGAAAGAGGAAAGACGGTTAATCTCGACCTCTCATCTGGTAATCAGGGAAATTCAATTCCTAATAACTCAACAGAAATAGTAAACCAATCAAAGCATTTTTTATCTAACTTTTCTGAACTACTCTGTTATATGGTCAGTTGGTCACTGAAATACCATAGACTATGAAATTATTACAGGTAATCCATTTTCTTGTTTTTATTTCGTCTCCTTTCTAATTTCATATAGCCATCACAAGCAGCACCATTTGGGGAAAATTCTTTGCTGTTCGAGAGACCTTGATAATGAAATATTCATATGAAATGCCCTTCTATATTCACATACCACAGAATAGATGTCCACAATTTGTTTCAACAGGCAATCTTGCTTCCTGCAAACATATTGGACATCTTTGATCACTGTAAAATCTTCTCCGATCATCAACATCCCCATCCTGTAAACCATATAATAAATTTAAAAAAACAACACGATAGGTTTTCTTCACCTAAGCTGACTATGAAAAAAGGATAAATGGGATTTTTCAAATGAGCTGTTTAGCACATAATACATGCAATAAATGGAGTATGACAAGTTTTATTGACATTCTTACCAAAGCATCATCTTCTTGCTCATTTTCATTAATATTGAGATGACTTCTTGTTGTGTTTACTCTTTCTTGATTTTCCGGATGAATTTCATGGTCAGAATCTGACCTGTATTTACTAAAAAAATAAGTAGCAATGCAATCATTCTATTTGTATGCTGGGTGTCACAAATAATATACAGCTATAAATAGGTGGTATATTATTATTACAAACAATTCAATAATTTTGATGCACCAGACCACCACAATAAAATGGATATGATCAGCATCCGCTGGATCTAGCAGTATCATATTTTGAGCCTAATATATTTAAATCATGCAGTATAAGTATAAGTATAAGTTTATTTCGACTCCATAATCAGCAAAACAATAAAATGAATGCTAAAAATAAATAAATAAAAACTGATTATGAAATCAGGAGAGCGAACAAAACCTTAGGTAAGGTTTAAAACGTACAGAATGTATATAAGATGGAAGGTTTTGCCAAGAACATGTGGTACGTGTTCACTCACCTAAAATAATTGAAATATTTCACACACGCTCACACGCACCCACACACACAACCATATAGAAGTTATTAAGTAAAGGGAACATGAAAAATTACATACTGGTAGTTAATAAAAAATAAATAAATAAAAATTACTTGCCACACCATATTAATAAATTTATCATGATTGCCACTGCCAAATTGATCAATTTTATAAATGGGAGTGAACAGTAAAGATAAACTTTTATAAAAAAATATATTGTCAAGCTGATTATAGATGGAGTCAAATGCCAAAATGCCCAACCAAAGTTGCCAGAATTGGGTGCATGAAGAGGTGGGCTAGACCACTTCATTGCCCAAACTAGAGCCTATTATTGCCAAATTGTAGTCCAGATTGCAATAAGTATTTAAATCTATCAGTAACTTTATAAGTATGAGTAATTATAATTAATTAAGGTAGAAAGACAGGGTATAGGAATATGTTGGTTGCTAAGGTTATAAGGTTTTTTTTTTCATTCTTAGATATTGACTTCTGCAAGGATAAAGGAATTAGGAATAAAGGAATTAGTATTGTTATTTCACAGGATCATTTCTTCATTTAATTATTGTGGCGTAATAGATTCAAGTTTATCGTGGATGAGACATCAGCCTGCGAATTTTGTTGTTGTAGACACCATTTATATTCAATAAACTAGCCATTGTATTGTAATAAATGATTGAAGTAGGCAAGCTTCATGAGTGCATCCAGCTGTCCTCTACTATTTACAATAATTGGACTGAAGGTTTGAAGCTATCCTCTACAGCTTTACAAACTCATCCATATTGAGAAGCACTGGGATGAGAGAATAAAAATGGCTTACCGTACAAGATATGTCGAAATTGGCAAAATGAACATCAACAGAGTAGATAAAAAAATTACAACTTCATCGCCCACACCTTCAATATAATTTCCTGATGGACTTCTCTCGTCCGTCATCCGGAATTTGCTTTCAGTAGATTTACAGATGGCTATAAATCTAACGTTAGATATAGATCAATTTCTATCAACCTGAAATTGGTAAAACAATATTCACTGAATCTAGTGAATCAGGAAAACTTTGAAAGTCAAAGGCAGAAAAGGCTGTATATTACTGTATTAGCTAAGTTACCGGTACCGGTACTCATCTTGACTACAGGGTTTTAGAACTAGACTACTAGCTGTGTAGAGGAAAAACATTTTACGCCTTGACCTCATTTCTACTGATCCTTGAAAACTCCGACACTGGTTGGGTAAAAATAGAGGGAGGCCAACCCATTACCCAATCCAAGTTCAGTACCTACCGTATTCTTTGGCGTCTGCAGCTGCCGCAAAACCATGGCAGTATTTCCATATCATGGCCGCTACGGCCAAACCTATCAATCAATCATTTATTTCGGTACTCTGACATAAAAACAAAACAACACAAAAACTGGACAAACAAACAAAATGCAGAGATACCTGGATGGCGAGCATAACTTAAAATAAAGTTAAAAAACCTAAAAGTACGCGCCCGCCCACCAAAGTACGCGCCCGCCCACTATGGCGACTGACTTTTTAGCTGTCACAAACCAATGTCAAGCTGCCGTTACCGCGGCAGCAAATTGAAAACAAATGGCAGGTATAATTTTGCTGAGGTGGGCCGTTAAGATAGGGCTGTCCCTAAGGGTGACAAATACTGGGTAAGTTGGAACGTTTTCCTTATGGATACAGTTTTGATGGATTTGGGGTTAGGGTTTAAGTAGATCTAATTCCACATGATGCCATTTCCCATGCCATCCCATTTAATTAAACAATTATTTTTTGCCTGTAATAAATAGTTCAGAGCGTTCCCCTTCACCCAATCATTGAAACATCTACTCGCGGTTTTATTTTTTGTTTTTCAGGTTACTTCAAAGTGATTAAATGAAGTAAAACACATAAGGAAAAAATAAAAAAAAAAGACTCCGATATCCTGTGAAATAACAACCTTATTCCTATATCCTTGTCTGAAATCAATACCCAAGAATGAAAAACCTCACTTACACCCTTTGTAACCAATTTATTTCCACATCCTACTTTACTTAATTATAGTAATTTTACTGTTACCGGTAACTTTAATTACTTATTACAATCTGGACTATAATTTGGCAATAATAGGCTCTAATTTGGGGAATGAAATGGTCTCGCCCACCTCTTCAGGCACCCAATTCTGGCAACTTTGGTTGGGCAACTTGGCATTTGATTCCAACTATAATCAGCTTGGCAATATGTTTTCAATAGAATCTTCCTTTTATATTTTAATTAACGATTAGAAGATCGATCAAGTTGGCAATGGCAACCATTACAAAAATATCAATAGGGTGTGGCAAATAATTTTTTTTCTTTTCTAGTATTTATTCATTTTTTTGTTTACTGTATAGTATACCCTAAATTTATCGCGTTTTATTCTTACTTAAATAACTTCTCAGTGGTTGTGTGTGTGTGTGGCTGGTGGGTGCATGTGAGCGTGTGTGAAATAACTTAATAATTTTAGGTGAGTAAACACGTACCACTTCCTCTTGGCAAAACCTTCCATCTTATATTTTGTACGTTATAAACCTTATCTAAGGTTTTGTTTGCTCCCCTGATCTCATAATCAGTTTTTATTTATTTGTTTTTATCTGTCAAATGTATTGTTATGCTGATTATGGCGTCGAAATAAACTTATACTTATGATCAATTAAAATCTGGTACATTAATTTGTGATTATACCGTTAATACTGATTACTGAATAGCGCTATGAAACTATGGCAAGAGCTGCCGTGGTTCGTTCGTGGCAGGAGCTGCCATGAAGTGGTAAGAATTGCGCCTCACCCAATGCAGCAGTCAGTCCACGGTGAACAACGATTGGCATATTGGAGTAAACGGAAGAAGCACTTGACACTGGCAAAGTGGTGAAGCTTCTACATGAGCAACTAGGAATACGAATGGGTTATGTAAATATTCCATCACGTTCGGGGAATTCAGTGCCAGTTTTGACTGATTCACATGTATGCTACCTCTTAACTCAAATGTCCCGTTTTGTCAGCACGGCTGTCAAGGGTAACATATTCATATATATTCAATATTAATACAAATTTTTTTAACGGTGGCAGCCCATTTACCACTGTTTTGCGACACACTTCGCTTGTTCAGAGAGAGTGAAATTGCTCTATTGTTATGTCACAATTGGTATATGCTTTAATGCGTTTTCTGGCGTTATTGCAATACCGTTAAGTTGTCGAAATGCCATAAAGAAAGTACACATTTTCTAATGAGTTGAAGAAAGATTTTCCTTATCTGAAGCAAACTGAAGGAGGAAAGGTACACTGTACGCATTGCAGATCTGTTTTTCTATTAGTGATGACGGTCGTTCATATGTCAACGATCATATCCAAAGCAGGAAGCACAAAACGACTCGACTGACCAATTTCTTTGCGATAACAAATTCGGATGATTCTTTGTCGTTGGCAGTCGACATTTGCCTATCACACTGCTGTTTTGACTGCAGCTCTAAATTGATTTCGAATTTTTTTGCCTAAATTTGCATCAACTTGTAAATATACACAGTTAGAATTTCTGATGTTTACTGTCTGATAAGAGGATTCGCTGATTTTGCACGTTTACCCAGAAATAACTGAGAGTCGGTGATTTTTAATTGCATTGCTCCGCTGTTCTCCTCTGAACCCAATGATGATTTACTTCAAACCAGTTTCATATCAGTAACCCTCGATGCCTCAAACAGAAAAGATATATCATATAGGGCTTGTTCCAGTTGTGGTTCGTTATTTTTTACCTGATGTTGGTGTGAAGATAAAACTATTAGAATTCAAATCTCTACCCGGGGAAACCGCCGAAACTTTTACTGAATACTTGCTCTCTGTTCTCGATCAAAATCATTTAAAGGGAAAAGTTGTTAGATTCTGTGCGAATAACTGCAACACCAACTTTGGAGTTGTATAAATATGTAAAAAAATATTTTTACATTTACACTGTCCGAGTAACAGAGCCGAAACCATTCTGCGAATTTGTTGATATTGAATATCAACGGCTATTATAGCATGGCAACACTCGGTTTCTCTCTTTATTACCTGCTTTGCAAAGGATTACGGAAATGTTTTCAAGCTTGATAAGTTACGCAAATTCTCAAAAAAGAAGTCCTTATAGTCCTATGCTAAATGTTCCAGCGTACGAACTTCACTTGAAATGTGGCCTTTGCCAGCTCACTTACTTCAACAAAATATTTTAATTTTGGAAAAAGATAATACTAATGAACAAATACTTTTGGTCTAAATAAATAATACAAACTAGTTTTTTTTTTTTTTTTTTTCTAATTCAATGATCAGTAGAGATTTACAGCCTTATATACCCGCAATGGCATGGTAGACGTTTCAATATTACAAAGACTGGCAATCGACCGAATGTTTGCCAAATCGCACCGTCCCGTTTTTTTGTTTCAGATTTATGGTAAGCCTATGTATGACTTGTATGTCATCAACTTTGATTGTTGATATCGCAAAAAAGTTTGGGAACCACTGTTGTAGTGGCTCGATAAACTTTATCGCTCTGTGGAACTCCGTCATTATTTTAATGGCCACAAGTATAAAGCCCTAAGAGGATTTAGATTACAATATATTCGTAATTTGACTTTGTGTTTCCTGAAACGAGATCGTTGCCCCAGTTTATTTCCTTTATGGTATTTGAGTGCAAGTTTGAGTGTTTCATGCCAAATAGTTGATGTCGTATTTCTCACCCTCGCTTAAGTGTTGCTCGTCTTTGTTTAAACGTTATCTGTTAGTCAGAAATTTGGTTTCATCACATATATATACTTGCTTTAAGGTTTTAAGTGTAATATCTATTTTATTTATCTATTTTTTCGTTATCTATTTGGATCAATTCGATTGTGCAATTTCACAATATACGAACCTTTGGCATCACCATCTATTGTGTGCTCATATTAACCTCTGTGTTTTTTTTTCTCGCTAAAGTACGTTAAATGGTACTGGGGTCGTCTTTGAAATTGAAGATGGTTAGAAAAAGGAGTGGATCTTTTCATACTGTTAATTGGAGGGCGTATCGTTTCTTCATGTCGCATATGAGCATAGCATCAGAACAGATTACGAACGAAATACTTACAGTTTTTTATACGGACTCACTGAATACAAATTTGGCATTCCCAGAATTTCTCTTTTGTTACTTTTTCACACGAATCGTGGTACCAAAAAATATAGACCTGTGTCCAATTTTTTCCTTTCCACACGCTCGTGCAGTTTTCCGTTCCAGCTCTTCTTACTAGAAAAACATTTCTGTTACATTATAAATTTCATCTCCAGTTGTGCGGGCTAGAATTTTTTTGCAGGAGTCTTCTTGCATGTTATTGTTTTCAATATATCTAACGTTCACAAGCAGTTGGGCCTTTTCTTGAATAACCGCCGACTCTCATCTATAATTGCAATGCCAAAACTTTTCAACAATTTGCCTTTTAACTGTGACGGTATGTCATCAATTCGCTTGCATATATATAGTATCATTGAATAGCAAAACTATTGCGACTTTTATGAATGCACTTTTTCACATCACTCTTTTCGATAACATGTCAGAACTAATCGTTCAGCGATTGTATGGGGTTGCTTAGTTTTGGCGAAAATCCTCACAACGGCGTAGATTGCTTCAAGCGTCCTAATGAGACCGTACTAAAGTCTTTCATAAAATTGGACGTTCTGTTCTAACAAACACTTTCCCCTGTGAAATAGGCCCACTAATCCGTGTTTTCCTTCCAGCTGTCTTTTCAATTTAATGGGTATCAAAGCCTGATTTGATAATTATTTGACACATAGAAGACATAAACGTCTTGAAATTCAGGTTTTGCGGTCGAGATGAAACCAAACTGTACATATTGTCGACAGTAGGCTACTTCCCGGCTACTTTCTTCGTTTTCTTTGCTGTTGTGATTTTGCCACCACTTCCTCCGCTAAACATTACGACATGCTCATCCATTTTAGCAATGTTTCTTCAACTACTAAAACAGTGGTTCTCAA